TTATTCTCTCGAATGAATGCATCAGTTCAGCTCAAAATTAAAAAAAAAAAAAAAAACTATTATTTCAATTACTTAGAATTACTGTTGATTACTTTCAGCTACCAATGCAAGACTGTTTCTTGTATCTAGAAAACGACCGAGGCGAGCGGATCATTCCGACCTCCATTAACCCAAGAAAGAAAACCCTAACAAAAATGAGCGCCCCGTCAACTAAAACAAATCAGAAATAAAAGAAGGAATTGCTCGATCATAACATCAAGCACATAGAATGGCTTTCCATTGCTATCTTCTTCCTCGAACAGTAAGAGAGAGATTTGAGATTTTTAAAAGGCGATCGAGGAAGGTTAAGCTAATAAACTAGATAAAAGTGTAAGGTCTTAATTATAAATAAATTATGCGAGTAAAATAACACCCCATAATTATTGGATAGGTAAAATCAATGGCATGAAGCACTCTATAAATTGTATCATAAAATGAAAGGTCATATAAAATATTAATTAGAAAAATTAAACTCAATTAATATTTAATTATATGGTAATTTTTAGATTCTCAAAATAATCAAAGCATATGGGAAACCCAAGTAAAAACCGAGATACCATGTGTTTAAATTTAATTTTTTTTTAAAAGTATTTACTATGTAAGATTGATAAAGGAGTGTAGTATATACCAAGTACATCGCCCACATATACCTTCGGAATAATAGCACTAATAGTGGTAAAATTGAAAACAACAACCTTTATATAGTTTTATTTTATTCCTTATAATTTTTTAAAAATTCATTGCAATTCCTACATGTTATTTTTATTTACAAATTGGTTCTTATTTGAATCTTTCATCCTTTTATTTTATAAAAAACTATAGTTTGATCCTTATTATTAAAAACTTTTTGCAATTAGATATTTGCATGATCACTATTAATCATGTAATAGTTCATTATGTAGGTTTTTTATGTAATACTTGTAATGTAATTAGTATTTACAATTATAATAATCTAGTATGCATATTATAATTTTTAAAAAGTATACAATTAAATATAATAATGTAATGAAATATTACATTACATGATTCATATTAACCATACAAGGTTTTTAAAACCGTGAGTTAATTAGTAAAATTTTATAATTTTATGAGTCAATATGTATATAACATATTAAATCGGACTGAAAACTTAAAATCAGTAAAATAGAACTTAACTTGTATAAAATCAATAAACTCGGTCTGATTTTAAAATTTTATTAAATTTGTGATATGAATCAAGTCAGGTTCAAATTTAATCTTAAAATATCAGCTCACTAGTTTTGCAAGATTAAACATATATTTCAAATCATATATTGGATAAAGCTGAAATTTTACAAGGAAATATTAGATACATAAAAATATATTATAATAAATTTTTAGGTCAAATGGAGTTAGAGAACATAATATTTTAGATGATCAAATTTAGTAAACTAATATAGTCAAATATGTCAAACAACACATTTATGTATTGTTTGAGACATGTCTAGAGCTACCAGTGAAATTTTGTTTTGCTTAAAATTCAGAGGAAAACCAGATATTTAAAACTTTCTAACTATATATTGTAGGCCTAATAATTCATCCAAACAAGAAAAAACGACATATTTGAAATCAAGAGAGAACGATATATTTAAAATCAAGACTTAAATCTACCAAAAATATACAAGAAATAGAGATTTAGGCTGCATGGAGGAATTTTAACATGAAGACTTTTTTTTATTATTTCTATTTTATTTATTTATTTATTTTTAAATAATTATTTTTAATTTGAATTTTTTCTAGCATATTAGACATTATTTAGGGGTTTATTTTATTATTGAATTTATATTAATTAAGTACTAATTTAAACTCATTAGCTTGCAACCCAAAAGGGATCTATCAAGACTTGTTATGATAAGAGCAATTAGATTGTCGCTAGATTTATACGTGCTTTCTACCTTTAAGTGATTCTTCTGTATTGAAAAATTTTGTTCTGAGACTTTTTATTTCTTTATGTCATTAATTTATCAACTCATACTATTTATCTTTCTTATTTTATTTAGATCACTCATTGATTATAATATTGTTGGCTCATTTTGTAAGATTTTAATGTAATTTAATTTTTTTACTAGAATTATCAATATATAATTAGTTAAAAGAAACTACTTACAATTTTATAATTTTATAATCCAAGTTTATATTGTATTTTTCATGTTATGTCAAAAAAGCATTTTTGACAATCTTATGACGATATATACTCTTGTAATTTAAGCTATTAATCAAATCTCTTATTTGACTAAAAAACTCTATAAGTGTTTTGAAATATTATAGTGGTTGTTTTTTAATGTTTTTTCTTAAAAATATATTAAAATAATTTTTATTTTTATATAATTTTTAACATCAACAAATCTAAATAATCTAAAAACATAAATTTAAACAAAAAGCAAATTTAAAATTTAGTGAAAGCGTTATTATATAAATTTTGTTACATTACATGATTCATTATATCCAACCAACTATACTTTTATAATTTAAGCTATTAATCAAGTCTTTAATTTAATTAAAAAAACTTTATAAGTATTTGAAAATATAGTAGTAGTTACTTTAAAAAAAAATGTTTAGAAATATATTAAAATAATTTTTTTTAAAATAATTTTTAACAAGAAATCAAAATAATCTAAAAAATTTTAAAAATAAATGAAACACTATTATATAAATGTATAGCCTTTTAATCATTTCTCCATGTTATATAAATTTAAAATCCTGACTTGAATATTGTTATATAATCCCAAGATTTGACTAGATTTCTTATTGGATAGAGAGAGAGAGAGAGAGAGAGAGAGAGTTCATGGTCGTGATTCCAACTTCCAAACATATATATATTATCTTGTATTTTGACCTCTCCATTGCATATCTTCGCTTGGACCCGTGTCTAAGCGAAGAAATGCACATCCCATGGCCTTACAGTTGATTCTCGTTTAAATTCCTCGTGCCCTTCGACTTTGAAAATAAGAGATCCTCAAAAATTCAATATTGTTGCAACCAATAATAATAATATATAAATATAAAAAATATAATTTAATTTGTTAAATTTTAAATTTATTTTTTAAATATTACTAATTTGAGTGTTACAAACTTCAAAACTACTAAATATTTACATAATAATTATTTTAGAGTCTCTGATTATTAGTTGAAAAGCATGTAAATTGGTTTGAATATTCACAATTAATAATAATAATAATCTTATATAATTATAATATTTTAGACTAATTATATTTTTTATTTTCTAAGCTAAGTATCTAAAATTTGAAATATTGCTGATATTCATATAGTTTTCGAGCAAGTTTGACATTCAACCTGCTCTTTAACTTATTTCTTATAAATTTATATAAAAAGTAATGAGATTGAAAATAGAAGACCCTTTAATATTTAATATTTTCACAATTAATAAAAAATAATATTCTTGTTAATTATATTTAATTTAGACTATTTTTTTATCTCATGAACTAAGTATTAAAAATCTGAAACTCAATTAATTATAATCTCACATAAGTTTGTTTCATGTAAGTTAAATCTACGTTTAACCTGCTCTTATAAGCATGTAAAGGGAGTGCTCCATGCATAAAACTAATAAGACAATAATGTTTAGTGAAGATCTCATCTCTAATGTCATAAAAAGATTTATAAAGTTATTATATCTCATGAATTTCTTAATAAATTATAATTACATTGTTTTAGCCATTCATGCTATAAACATGCATAATTGTTAATTTCATTACTAAATTTTATTTCATAAGAAGAATGATATTAATTTCACATGAAATTAGCTTATTTTAGAAATTATAAGTTGTTTCTTCTTATTAATTTTTCATAAACCTGCAAAATAAACTAACTTGTAACCTTTAAAACAAGAAGCTTTGAGCCTATCTTACTAGTCACTTCTTAGAGAATATTAGAAATACGAGCTAACTCATATTTTAAAATAATTTTTTAATAAAAAATATTATTTTGATGTATTTTAAAATAAAAAATATTTTAAAAATTAATCGCAGCTATAATTTCAAACAAGTCTTAAGTCTTAATGAGATGAGCTTATTACCTGTTTAAAAACCATTAATTTAGTTATAGTTATGAATTTTAGTTATAATCATGCTTTTAAGTATTTGGTAATTACAATATTTTTCATGTATTATTTTTAAAAATTATAATTTATAATTTTTCAAAAAATATCATCACAGTTACAGCCACAACTCTTCCAAACGAATCATTAGCTAAGTTTAAGCTAAAAATTAATATATTAATATGATTTTATCATAAAGTATATAACTATGTTCGTTAACATAAATCTATTGATATGTATAGCATTAATACTATAATGTTATTAATTAATATATAGTATATCAGTATCCTATATCTTATGAGAAATTGTTTTTGTTCATAGAATTCATTTCTTAATTTGAAATGAGAGAAATAAAACCAGTAATGAGAAGCTTTTCCCATTCTAAGGATAGTAATGAACCCTAGTTAGTGTTTTATATTATAATGATATTATTTTTTAAAGTATTTTTATATTAAATTGTATTAAAATAATATTTTTTTTAAATTTATTTTTTTCATTTTTTTTTTAAACCATAAAAAAAAAATTAATCTTTTTTTAAATTTTTTTTTCAAAAACAAATACAGAATTAGCCTAATAATGCGTGCTGGGCAGTCAACGAATTTCGGAGCCGAGTGATATCTTATCTAATGGATGTCTACATCATACAATCTAAGAAATAGAATTGGTCTATAGAATTAGCTGTAGAAATGTCCTAATTAATCATCATTCCCTGTCTGTTTCTGGTACCCAAAGCCACAGATGAAATTAAAAAAATAGTAAAAACCAAAATAAATAAAAAAATAGTCATGAGTTGTAAAAAGTAAAAAAAGAATTGCTAACTATGGTGGTCCCACTCCACCTAATCTTTTTACGTAATCATCATTTAATTATCATAAAACTCTCTCCCCCACGTACACTTTTCTGCTCCCCAAATCGCTCTCTCTCTCTCTCCCGGACACGGAGATCGAGAAGCATAAAACAAACTACTCAGTCATTAAGAGGTTGTATGAGCGGAAAAACATAAAAAACAATCTAGGGTTTCCAATTCTCTCTCCCCACCCTTGCTCCCTCTCTCTCTTCCAATTTCTTTCCCTCCAAACGCTATTTCTCCGTCTTCTTTTTGTACTCTTTTCCCGGGAAAATTTGATTAGGATTCTCATTCTTTGCCGCCTCCGGTGATCTCTTCACTTTCTCGTTTCTTTCGTGGGAAATTGTTTTTTCTTTTTTGTTTTCTCTCGGGAAACTTCGCCTCAATTTTACCCGCATCGGTTTTTCAAAGCCCAGGTAACACACAATCCCCCTCTCTCTATCGCGAGTGAGATTCTGTTTGCTTTGATTGGAATTATTGTTTTTCCAACCTGTCTAGCAAATAAAAATGTGTCCTTCAATGCTCTTTTTTAAAAAATAATAATAATAATAATACCAAAAAGAGTGTTAATTTGTGTTTTTTTCGATCATATTTCAAGCTGCAAAATGTTTACATTGCAGAAAAGAAAGTGATTTTGTGATTGTTTTTTATTGTTAGGGTTTGTGTTTTTGTGTAATTTTCGTGTAATTTTTGTTATTTTTAGGAGTCTTAGGTGTGATTGAGGAAGGAAAGGATTTGCTAACTGAAAAGATCTGTAGATTCAATTGAGAGAGGAGAAATTGAGAGCTTCAAGGGAAAAGGCTCTCTTTGATTGCTATGTGAACTGGGATCGTTTTTTGTTGAAAGTATTTAGTTTTGAATGATAACGGGTCCATGGATTTGGAAGTATTTTCGACTCAGGCTTCACCGTCGAGGGATTTGGTGAAGTGTTGTAATTGTGACTGCAGTTGTTCTTTAATAACCGGTTCATCTTCAGGGTCTTGGATCAGGTCTGTTAAAAGAAAACATGATGAGTTTGAGGAGGGAAATCGGTTTTATATACCTGGCTTTGATTCCTTCTCGAACCCACGAGTACAGATTGAGAATGAATGTGCTGCTTTGCGTGAGATGGTTTCTAGCCAACAGCAGACGGTGCAGGATTTGTACACGGAATTGGAAGAGGAAAGGAATGCTGCTTCTTCAGCCGCAAATGAAGCCATGTCAATGATATTGAGGTTGCAGAGGGAGAAGGCAGAGATCCAAATGGAGGCAAGGCAATTTAAGCGGTTTGCTGAGGAAAAGATGGGGCATGATCAGCAGGAGATTTTGGCTCTGGAAGATCTTTTGTACAAGAGAGAGCAGGCTATTCAATCACTTACTTGTGAAATTCAGGCTTACAAGTATAGGATGATGAGTTATGGCCTTACAGAGGCAGAGGCAGAGGGTGAGGGGGGTGAGAGGGGTGGGTTTAGCCGCAACACAAGCATGAATGAAAGTTTGGTTGCGGCTCAATTAGAGTTTCCAGTTTATGAATACCCACCCCTGAAATGCAATTTGAATGAAAATCCAAATCCCATGGAGGGTGAAGATGATATTGTGGATGTTGAGAAATATGCATTCAGTGAGACCCCACATGGTCGGGAGCAGTTGAAGAACTTGGAATATAGGATCTATCAGATGGAGAGAAGCCCACGCAACATTCAGCAGGATGGTGATTTTTCTGGTACAAAGAATATTCTTGAGAAGGTGGTAGTTGGCCACTCTCCTAGGCGATCAAGGCACAGCAGGAGGTTCTCTGCAGATAGTTCAAGTTCATTGATGGGGATGTCCAGAGAAGTTGGTCCAGATTTTGTCACTGAATCTCCAAGATGCAGGTTAAGCAATAGCTTTAAGAAGACGGATTGTGTTTTGCAAGTGGAAGATTACACAGATTCAAGAAAGAGGGATAATTCATCGGAATTTAGAGATGACATGAGTGACAGAGTTTATACCATCGATTCTATCCATAACGGGGTCTCACAGAATGGTGTTACAGAACCAAAAGCTGGAATTGGGATTTATGAAGAGTATCTTTCAACTCCCAAAGAAACATTGGATCAACCTGATGTTAGTGATCCTGACATAAAAAAGCTCTACATGAGACTTCAGGCACTTGAGGCTGACAGGGAATCTATGAGGCAAGCAATTATTTCAATGCGGACTGATAAAGCCCAAATGGTATTGTTGAAAGAGATAGCTCAACATCTGTGCAAGGAAATGTCTCCAGAAAGAAAATTGCCTGTGAAGAAGCCATCTCTTCTTGGAAACTTTTCCTTCATGTCAATCTTTAAGGTAGTTCTTTATGCTTTGTGTAAATGAATATGCTTTCCTGTAAATTAGAGATTTCCATTCAGTTGATTGTCTGGCCTTTCGATCCTGAGACCCAGCCTTTTTTGGTATTCAAAATATATCATCAAATCTGCTGTTCCATAATCATTTTGGTGATTGTTCTTGCGTTATAGTATTTGTATCTGTTATTCTTTTGTCCTGTACTTAACTTCAAATTCTCCTTGACTTGCGCTTCCTCCCCTCGACTTTGTTTTTCACTTAAATCTTCTATTCTTCATTATTGTGGGTATGGCTGAACTAGACTTGGATAATAACTTTGAATTTGAATAAACTGAACTGCATTGTAGAAGACTGTCTCTTGAAATCTGAGTTATGATGTAAATTGAGTGCTTGAACATATAGAAGATAAAATTATTGAAGGGGGTTTCTGATGTTTTCTTTATTTTCTTGGATTTTCATTTTCTCTGTCCTTAATTCTCCTGACTTCCACTTGTCAAAAGCTCTCAGCTGCTCACTCTTTTAAATTCTCGTACGCATTAATGACTACCTGGCTCTCCTCTCATATGCCACTTTTTAAGCACCGTGCTGTGTGTTATTTGTTGTACTAGCATCAATAACTCCCCATTCATTTTGTTTGTTCAGTGGGTTGTGTCCTTTGTTTTCTGGAGAAAGAAAGCTCAACGAAGCAAGTAAGTGTATTGCTATAAACTTTTGACATAATATAGTTTCTCGTTTAGTGCTCCCATTTAATTGTATATACAGAATTATTTGAAGTGCATGCAAATCAGCTCCCATTTAATTGTATATACAGAATTATTTGAAGTGCATGCAAATCAGGAGTGAAAAATTCCACTGGGTTTATTTGCTGTGTATTTTGCAAGATAAAAAATGAACCAGGGGTAGAAATTTTTTTCCAAATTTGAAGGTAAAATCCTTGTAATTTCTGAAAGGAATTGCGTGGAAATTGGAGAAAGAGAGGGGAATGAATCCAGGGGTAATTGTTCTGGCATTCCCAGTTTCGAAATTTGTGATTCACTTACTCTTTTACAGAAGCAAGTGCATATGTTTACAGTATTCCTGAACTCTTGAGTTTCTCAGTTGATTCAGTTTTGAGAAATAATGTTTAAGATTTGTATTTTTAGCATTGATGGGATTATTTGTGGTCTAAATCTGGCGTTGATGTTTGATCTCATCGAATCTTGTAATGGCAGGTATATGTTTGGGCTGTCCGCCACCAATGTTGGTTTGCTAATGCTTCTAGACAAAGGCCCCAGCACAAGGCAATGGAGATGTCTCATGAGCACACAAGTGTGAAACCATCAGTCAAAATTCCTTTACCCATTTGAAGCCAATGTTCTTATTGTGAAGACGCAGTCACGTTGCTGCCCTGATTTGTTATGTGCTTCCGCAAAATTCAGTGTTTTGTGCAGTGTTTTTTGATTTCATATTATCTGGATTGAATGTATTCTTTTCTGGGTGATTAGGGAAGCATGAATTTAGAATGGGCATGCCTGCCTGTGTAGTTGAAATCTAGCTTGAATTGAGGTATCCGTCTTCTGACAGCCAGCCCTCTACTGTATATTTCAGAATTCAGATTCCTGTACGATTTCCCATTTAAATACGCAATGGCTATTCTTTTTTTCATTTGAGGTGCACACTGGTGATTTCCTCTAATTTTAAACGCTGTTAATCATGGTTGATTGCTGTAAATAGCGGGCTATCTGTTTGTAAAATTTAGTTTCCTGACAGATTATTATCACAAAATCACAAGCTAGTTTTGACAGCTACTCGGACATTATTAAGCTGTAAGCTCTGGTTTATCCGTCAAGATTGCCAATCCAGCTACTGCTCAGTCATGGAATGCAGAAAATAGGCTGCTCTCAAACCAGGAACGCTGTTCAGATTGTTACTTTGGCCAGCGACCTTTTTTTCTCTCATTGTCCGGTCCTTTGCCTTGCCTTGAAAAAAAATGAAAAAGTGTTTGGCTGCTCCCTTCCACGACCTCGGGACGTTCAATTCCTGTGTGCCTGAACTTGAGAGGAGTCGACTAGCAAGCTCTCCTTTGAAGGCGTCTTCCTTGGAGAAGCTAGGTCAGAGTCTACTTTGGGCATTTCAGTAATGACTGCTTCTTTGAACCATGATTAGGCAACGTCACATCTGGATTGCTCCTAAATCCAGTTATTCTACCTAATGCTTTGTTCTCTGACTGATTAATAATTGTAATAATAGAGCAATCGACAAGCGCACGATGCAAATCTTATCCTTTTGCACCCAGGTGGTCTCTGGGCGGAGAAGCCCTGCGCGCGCATCTACTGTCTTTTTAGATAACATTGCAGATGATTTGTCGGATTCCGGGATCTTTCCTCGCCCATGCCAGCCAAGAGCAACGAAAGAGGAGATGAAACTTCCACTGCAAAGTACTGGTTCACAGTCATTTTCTCCTTTGGTTGGTATAAAGAATGTCTCCAAAGCAAACTAGCCGCCCGCCAGATGCTGTGAAGCCATGTTCGAGATTTATTTTTGTTGTGTTTCATGGTAGCTAAAATAAATATTCTTAACGATTTCAAAAATATATTTTTATTCATGTACTTCATATTTCTCGACTAAAAATTGCTTTTATTTTTTTCATGGCAGCGGGGTCTTTAAATAAAAAATTATCGGTTTTAATATTTTTTAAGCAATAATATCAAAAAATAAATAAAAGAATGTTTTATTTGAAAAGATTATATAAAATATTCATAATAAAATTAACTGACTTTCACTGACCGGTAATTGTGATCATTATTTTTGTATTTTAAAAAATTTAAAATTTTTTTATTTTTTATTTTAAATTAATATTTTTAGATAATTTTAATATGTTAATATTAAAAAAAAAATATTATTTTAATATATTTATAAATAAAAATTATTATAATAATTATATCTTTTAATCGGGGGATAAAAACAAGAGATAGCAACAGCGAAAGCGACCTTCAAATGGAGGATACACGTGATGGGACGATGGCCACCAATACCCGACCTGTCGTCTACGTGCTTGACATGACACTGGCTTTGTCCTCTTTGATGGGCCCTGGCACGTGTCACAGTCCAAGGGAAACATCATCATGAGTTCGGGATGGGCTAGAGGATTTATGGTGAGTTCTGGAGATGGGCTATTGAAATGGCCCACTAGTCTGTACTCAAAGGTTTCGAAGTGTTGGAAACTATTACTGTTTTGTAAATTTGTAAATCTTTTGTACATGAAAAATTATTTATATAGAATTTAATATGATAATATAAAAATAAACATGCATAAAATTTTAAATAATTAAATATATAATTTATATGATCAATAAATAAATAAAATAAACAACATAATAATTTCTCGATCAAATAAATTATTAATTTGAAAAACATGCTCGTAGAGTTGTTTATCGAAGACAATAAAAAATAAAATAAAAATAATAAATTTAATTATTTGTTATTAAAAAATAATTTTTTATTATTTGGTGCAAACAGTTTTAGTACAATTTCTTCTATGGAATTGAGCAACACCATCTTGAAAACATGCATTTATTCTTAAGGTCTACAAATTTAATATGAAGGGCTCTATTCTCTTTGTACAAGGATGCTCGATTCTTTTTTATATAAATTTTTTTTATGAAATTTAATTTAATTTTTTAAACATGATTAAAAATAAAAATTATTTTCGATGAACTCTTCTTTTTAAACAAGTCTAGTGACACTCAAATTAATATTTTTATGGTTGGAATATAGCAAGTCAAAGTCTTTCTATTTCTTCTTTTTTTTTCATTGATTTTCTCCCTAATTTGTTATCATTCAATGACCGGAATACGAGGAAAATGAAGTTTTAGGAACAAAATGCAAACAACTAAAACCACATTGACAAAAATGTAAAATCCAAAAACTTTAGAGAACCAAATTGAACTTTTATGACAGTTACAAGAACTAAATTGAAATCTTCTAAATATCTAGGGACTACACTTGAGGAAAATGATTTTATAAAACCAAAACACTAATATATAATACTATAAGGTCAAAAAATGCTAAAACAATTAGGGAATAATTTGAAAATTTAAAAACTTCAAGGATCAAATTGAAAATAAAGCTATAGGGGTGGAAAGTGAACTCCTTAAATGGTAAGGAATAATTTTAAAAAATATATGAATCAAATTGAAGTTTTCCATAAACTTGAAGAACTAAATTGAATATATCTCAATATTTAAGACTAAAACATGAAAAAAAAATTAAGGATTGAAATATAAACATCTAAAACTAGAAGGATAAAACATATAAATTTAAAAAAACTTATATACTAAATTGAACTTTTAAACTCTTGTGGAATAGTGCAATCCACGTCATAACATTTGTTACAATAAAAGTTTTTGATGTCTTAATTTATTGCATCACTAGTTTATTTCCTGTGCAATCCCGATAGATTGGATTAAATTTTTTAAAATATAAAAAATAATATTTAAATAATAGAATATTTTTATATTATTATTAAATTTAATATAATAATTTCGAAAATTCTTCACTTAATTTTTTATTTAATTTAAGTTTTAAATTAAATTACATGAAAGTTATTTTTATATGATTTTATTATTTAAAAAAATTAAAAAAATAACAAATTTATTTTAGTTAATATACCAAAATTATAAATAAGTTACGGATTTTACTGGACTAAATTGATATTTTTATTTTATTATATAATAAAAAATATAAAATTATTTTATCACCAAACAAATATTATTAATAAAATTAAATAAAAGTTCTATATTAAATAATAAAATAAAAATAAAAAAAAATATTGAAAAGAGCCAATAAAAAAATCCCAAGGAACATATTACAACAAAGCTTAGCCAATACTTTTTTGTTTGATGAATAGGCTTTCGGCACTCAACGAATGGCTCCCTGCAACTGCTAAAGAAAAAGAGGAGGAGACTGATTGGCGCAGGTCCTGTCATGTTACATCCAACAACTTTTCATTGAATTATGTTTTATTTAAAAATATATTAAAATAATATATATATATATTTTTTTAAAAAATTATTTTTAATACTAACATATTAAAATAATTTAAAACTAAAAAAAACTAAAAATAATAATAAAACAACAATTCAACCACCGCGTAAAATATACCCACAACACAATATATTGTTGCGGACATGCATTTAGTGATCAAACCATTGTTTTTTCCCTTCATCGTACAATTTAGTGTTAAAGAAATCAATTAAAACAAAAGAAAACAATGCCAAAACTAATTGACATAGTAATATCTAAAATAAATCTAAAGAGAAACATAATTTTTATTGGAAAACTTGTTTTTAGATATATTTGAGGTCTAATTAAAAATAAAATAATTTTTATTAAAACTTTATTGAGAAATATTCTTCAATAAAAATAATGTAATATTCAATATTAAAAAATCTAAAATAAATTATAAATAAATAAGAAATTATTGTAAGAAGTTAACAAAACACCAAAATCCAACCATAAAATTGCTCCCACATTGAAAAAGTAGAACTTACCTTTGTCCAATATTGAAGAACGAGTAACTATTTTTCTCCCACATAAAGAGATATATTTTTCAGGTTAAAAAAATGAAAAAATAAAGTCTACAAAATTAACAATGGACAGATGGTTTAGGGCTGAGTGTTGAGAGAGAGATGGAAAGAGCCATTTACAAATAGAAATTGTCAACCACAAAATTAAAAAACAAAATCATAATAATAAAGAAAAAATATGTGGACTTGATACATACTTGAAAATGTGATTGTAATTACTTTTTATTTAAAAATATGTTAATAATATTTTTTTATTTTTTAAAAATTATTTTTAAGATTAGTAAATTAAAATAATTTAAAAACATTAAAAGTATATTTATTTAGAATAAAAAGTAAATAAATTTAAATTTTTTTAAAAAAACTTTCTACTCAAACGGTATCTGAAGTGCTGTGGCTCTGAATATCTTGACTCCTTGAAGCGAAGTCGTCGAAGCAAATTCTGCTACAATCCTGCACCTCAAACCTTTCACACTACCGACCATTCGAGAAAGTAGAAACCCACTCATGGTTAGTTCACCTACACGTCAGCCGATACATCATGCTAGAAAGCTCCCGGAGTTACACCACTCATCTCACTGAATATATACACGCACACACACAAGCTTGTAAAATTGTATTGGTGTTTGCTGCATCAGGAAGGTGAATCTTGGTTTACAGTTCTACATACTATAGAGAAAAATGGTAGACAAATTGCCAGAGGAAGAGCATCCAAAACCGGCATTTGGATGGGCTGCGAGAGACCAGTCTGGGGTCCTCTCTCCCTTCAAATTCTCCAGGAGGTTCTTCCTCATTCCCCATCACCTTACTTTTAGTCCTATTATTTGCTTTTTAATCTTCTTTGTGCATTCTACATGTTCCTTAAATCGGTTTATATATTAATTTAAACAGAAGGGCTATTTCTAACTTCTTGCAGAGCAACAGGGGAAAAGGACGTGGCATTCAAGGTGTTGTACTGTGGGATATGCCACTCCGATCTTCACATGGTCAAGAATGAATGGGGCCTTACTCAATACCCTCTTATCCCTGGGTACGTGTATCCATATTGAGTAGCCTGTGTGTTTGTTTTCATTTGAATTGATTCG